TTTCTGCGCGCAGTGGAAATTAATACTATAAAGTGGTGGCCTGAAGCAGCAAAAACTTTACGTAACAAAACCACAAAAAATGGTTTTCTAAAAAGTAGGATGATTAATCTAATGAACAATTTTCAAACAGAAAATGCAAACATTTCTTGGACACAAGAGATGTTTCATACATTTGTTTCGATTCCAGCACCAGAAGAGGTTTTGGTCCTATGTGATGATTGGTTGCCTCTCAACTTCTTAGGACATTGCTGCCGTATGTTTAGACCAAGGAACGAGTACATCCCTGACGGTGGCGGTGTTCCTCGCCCGTTGGAAGTGAGATCACGCGCCGACGAGCGAGTGGGCTGGCGGATGAGGTGCCCTCCCCCAGCGGGGCGCCCCCGCCGAGGCAGCGCAACGCCTGAGCTCCCGGCTGGAGGAGGGCGGTAGAGCAGTCCGTGGAAGTGGAAGAGCGGGTACGCAAGGGGAGAGAAGAAGGAGAAGGGAAAGGAAGGACAGATAGCGCGCGGCCCGAGGCCCCTTTCGTAGTGGATTTCGCCTGTCATTGATCGAAAAAACTGGAAAAACTACCGATGAGAGCAACATGCCGCTGGAATTCTCTAGGTAGTAGCTGAAATATGCTCCAGTGTCAAACACGCTCTTTCCATCGGCACTCGAACCCTAGGATCTTTGTGTCAACGATCGCCTGCCCCGTACGCGTACGACGCTTTGGCTTATGACACTTCGGAGTTATGGAAACATCGCTAGACATACGCTAGGCTGTGACGAGTGTCTATCGCCTAGAGCGGGAGAGTCGGAGGGAGAAGGGGGCGCGGGAGCTAAGCGCAACGGAGCGAGGCGAGGCGAGGCGAGGCAGCGCATACATCTTCGCGCGCTGGCCAGCTGCGCCCGACCTGGCCACTCTGTCTTATGAAAATGCGTAGTGGCCCAGAAAACGGCCGCGGCGCCGGCGATGGAGAGCCGGGGGGGGCGGCGTTACGTCGTGATGATTCAGCAAAGAGGGCACAACTGCCTTCGACCACGGGATTTACGTACCTATAGAAGTTAATATGAGATTTTTCATTTAAGTCATTTCTTAAAATAATTGTTTTAAAAGATGTACTAGGTGAAATCATTTTTTTTTAAATTATTGATTGAATATGCTACTTGAATCCATTTGGTGCGAATGTAGACCGCCTCCAATCTCTTTAAAAACATTATTGAGATTTTGTAGAACAATGAAATAAAATTGTAGAATTTGTTCATAATTAGAATTAGAAAACATGAAAGATAATGAACGCGTAAAAAAAATTGTTAGAAGAAAACCAAAAATAAAAAAATTTCATTTAATACTTTGATTCGTTTTGCACTTAAGCTTTTCGGCATTTTTCTTACTGTACGGCAACTGATCTAAGAGACATTTTTGTATGGTCTTTATTACTATGGAACTTACTCGTATTTATAATTTTTTGTGCGTTTCAAAATGTTTTTAAAAAACCCGCGCTTGTAATTGCAAAGGCTATACTCAATTTATTACCATTATTTTTGTTTTTACTACAATTATATTAACTTAATAACTGTAACAAAGATAAACAGATCTCGAGATAAATTTACATCTTAATCGTTAACGACAACAGCTATTATTATTATTATTATTATTATTATTATTATTATTATTATTATTATTATTATTATTATTAAGTATCTACTGGTCGGTATGTCAACCACACACAGGTATGATGACCAGGTGTGTGGTTGCTTTACTGAAGGTTCAGATGGCTTCTGACAATGCGGCATGTATTCAAATTATTATTACTATTATTATTACTACTATTATTATTACTACTATTATTATTATTACTACTATTATTATTAGCGTATATGCCATTTATGACTATGGTACACCTTATCTTCCGAGGCACTGGAGAGATGAACGTGTGTAATTATTGTGATGGTTCTATTATTTTCCTTCAATCCACTATTAAGGAAGAGCAGAAATATCAATTTATTTATTTTCAGGGTCGATGATTTCCTGGTATACACTGTAAACTTGAATCAGGCAATTACCGTTTGATTAATTCGAAAAACATTTTCAGAATTCAAATCAAAAATAAAATATTCATTTACAATATTAAATAACAATCAGAAAAGGAAACAATTACAAAGCCAAGAAAGTTTACCCAAACAACTAAAGAAAACTTTACAGTCGTTCGTATTTTCAATATACCTCTTCCTGCTCGCGTGCAGTCGTTTTAGCTTGACGTCTTGTTAACTTGCTTGTATTGACGACTGAGATATCAATAAACCAAAATTTCTTGTCATATTTGTTTATAATAATAAATATGAAAATAATACTAATATTATTCCAATGTCATGCGGTTCGCAGTGAGGGGCAATGGCAACAACACCGCCATCGCCCTCGAAGCGCGCCGCAGGGGAGGTTTGTTGCGAGGTGACGCGTGCCCGCTGCATGCGCCCGCGGGGCCGATAAATAAAGAAACCTGCGATGCATAGCAACGCGCTGTTTGTTTGTGTGTCGCGGAGGTTTTCGAAGTGAGAAATCTGCGAGAAAAGGGACATCCCCGAAATTTTATGCATGAATGGCGCAGTGTTTGTGGACGCGGTGCTGAAAAGAGCCCCGGGAGGAGGGAACGCTTTGCGATGACGCACGGCTTCGACACTCGAAACGATAATGGCGCCGGGGGGGGGGGCGAGTGGCCAGGAGTCGAGTGGCAGAGTGCAAAGTTGGTCTCTTACCGATGTGCGAATCGGCTTGCACTACTGCTCGCCAGATGGGGCAAAGGGAGATGTAATTATTGCGAGATGTTGAGAAGAATATATTTCATAACACCCCACAGGAAATCATCCAAGTAAAAAATTGTGTATGGAATAAATAATACACTGGCATAACATTCCAATCACGTAGTAAATACACTGAATTTTTTATACACATTTTGATGCGATTAGAAAAATATTGTTATGGAAGAAAACGTCGTTCCCGCAAGGGCGAAACAGGAATTTAACTACAATAATTGTAATCCGCAAAAGTTTAATACACTCAAATTTTTCACGATTGACTCAAGAATCGTACATTCTCTCAATATTATGGTCAACTTACGCTGGTATTATGTTAATACAGTCATGCGTTTTTAGATTTTTTCGAATGACATATCGTTTTTACAGTGCGCTCTTCATCGATGATTTTTTTAGTTTATTTATTTAAAGTCTCTTTTCAACAACTGGGTCAAAAGCGACCACGAGAATAAATTTATAATTAATGACAAGAATATACATTTTTACAGTATTTTTTGCTTAACAATGTCATCAAGTTCAATGATGTTTATATCTTGGCTATTAGGTAAATATAAGTTACAAATAGTGACAGTGAAGTTAATTTTAATTCTAATTGCTGTTGCTTCCAGTTGCGTTTAAAGAGGAACATTATGTAAGAAAAATTCCGAGTAAGTATAAATTGCAATGTCACCACTAGCAATGTTGGAATTATTTCTATTACAAAATATAGATCTGTATCCAAACAATGAGCCACAATTTTAAAATCTTAATTTTTTTTCTTGAAAGATTATTTTTGGTTTGAATTTGCTAATGAGAAGCTTGATGAATGGTTTTCTTACAAAAAAGAACATTACAATTCCATTGAATAATGTTCATTGTAAATGGCTGAATTAGTTTATTTTATATTCACTTCAGCTAGAATGGCAATAATGGAAAAGGTTGCCTTTCTGAATCTTATCTAGCATAAGGTTTTTCATTCATATCTGAATGAAGTTTTTTGATAATTCTTGAGCATCTACTTTTCACACCCCGGTTCGGTAAGTGTTGTTGTAAACAGCTCTTAACATTGCTGGTAAAGCTGTAAAACCATCTGTGAATTCTCTGGCAATTGCTACAGTACAACCCTTTGTTCTGTCAAAGAAACTTTGGAGTAGAGAACATTAGGAGATTCTAAGATTGTTTTAATATTGGGCCACGACTAATCGTCAACATTTTCAGTAAAGGTTTTAGTTTTTTTCTTATTTTTGGAGAGTTGTTTCCTTATTTTTTCTTTAGTTTCAGTAGTTTTCTCTTCCATGTCGCAGGTTTTCGAATTACTGTCTGGGAGTTCATTCTCGCTATCTGATTGGTTGCTAACCATTTCTGTATTCGAGCTTACAGTAGAAAACTGTCTCTCGAATCTGACGGGGTTGCAGGCAAGGTCAACTTCCAACGAGTTTCCTTTCGAGCCAACAAGCTTTCTCGCGGCCGACTCAGAGGGGGAGGAAACTCATGGGCGAGGTTAAGGCTAGAGTTTTCATTCACGTTATCGCTTTCGGGAAGTGTTGGTGCAAATACTTTGGGAGAAAAATTAGGATTAACAATAATCTCATTAGTTGATTCTGTGGTTTCTACTGCCGTAGGGAGAGGTAGGCTATTAGATAATTGAGAATTACATGGATTTGGGCAGTTTTTAGCAATATTGCCCTGATTTTTACATAAAATACAAATAGGAACATCAGGGGTTACATATATTTAGTGGGGGACATCTATAAACACTTGAAATGATTGAGGTAATTTATGTTCATCATCCGGTGAAACAAAATGAGAACGTGGCTTAAGTTGCTTATTAAATCCAACACGAAGGAAAGTTAACGGTACTACAGCTCTAACACCGAAAGTTAATCATTTTTCCTTCTATCACTTGATGAGGGATACTTGGCTAAACATTTGAGAGAATAATTCTTATGTTCCTAGAAATTAATGGTCTTATTGGAAAAATTTGATTAGACACAACGATGCTTTTATGATTGAAGACTAGATCATCTGCGATTTCCTTACTGAATAGATAAACTCAGTCTGTGGTTCGATATTTTCGAAGCAAACTTGATATGAGAAGGGTTAACTTTAATAGATAACTTTTCAATAAATTCTACAATTGGCGCACTATTTGCCGAATCTATGATAGCATTTTCTTTTTTGGGAAAGAGATTGCTTAGTAACTTTGGCATAATTAATTTTAGTCTTACTGTTCTGGTTTTCTGAAGATTGGTGAACTTGAGAGGGCTCCATGATGGTCACGAAAAAAAAAGGAACTTTTCACTTAGTTAAGCAATACCGCTTCACTTAAGAAGAACTCCACTTCTACCGCGTTTTACACGAGACTGACTGTCAAGCACCGAGTGAACGCACGCACCACGTGATTTTGCCCGAAGCGGACGGAGCGTCTGACTACCGCGGTAGTCAGGACGCGACTGTGTTAATTGAAGATTATTTACTGTATTTCGAGAAATTAACTTGTTCCACGTCTTTCTCAATAGGTCGTTAATAAAATTATTGTCACAACTATAGTCATGAACAACGATCATTGAATAATTTTGTTTCAAATATTTCTCTAATTAATGGAAATTTAGTTTCTTGGTGATGTGGAGTTGGCATTGCAAATATTTTATAAAAAGTAGTTGAAATTACAAACATTTTTATTTATCGTTTTAGAAGCTTTCGACGTCTTAGGTAAAATATAATTTCTGAGTTCTAGATAAAAGATCTGATGAAGAAGGCTATGCCGTCGAAAGATGATAATGTGATACGTAAAAATGTTGGTAATGAAAACATGTTTTATTGAAACACTAGTTGTTGATAATGGGGAATAAGTTTGACATTTTAAAAAAACTAAAAATTCTGTTTCTCACGAAAAATTCCGCTCTCCAAAGAATATATATTTTAGACTAGCTACACGAACTGAAGAATTTCAATTGAAATTGCCTTCTTGTTTGTGATTTACAGCCTTTTCCCTGAGCACTGTAAATAAAAGTTCCATAAATGTATCATATCATGTATCCATTCTTGACTCCTACATTCCATACACATGATGCAGATCTCACGGGCTATCCAGATGTAGAGAGAAACTTCTGGTGATATTGCAAGTACACTGCGTTTCACTTCATTATTAATATTGTATTTTTATTTAAGGGAAGTGCATTAAAATGAACAATAAAAATAATACGTCATTCGTATGCGCCCAGACGTGTCAGCCTCGAGTCAAAATTCACAATTTTGAGAGTACGACATGATCCACCAATTTTAGCTCAACTACTTAATAACACTAATAATATAATGTGCTAAACATAAATACTAGAAGTCTGCTTGAAAACGTATTAACGTCCTTTCTAACATCCTGGTAATTAGAGCTTCTGAAATACGGACACTGAACTCCCAATATCGACTCCTCACTTTCCGTATTCAACCGAAAGCTAAAATTAAAAAATAAAAGAAAAGAAAAGAAAACGTGCATTCAGGAACGCCATGCTAATGTATTCGTGGCGGGGCGGGGCGGGGCGGGGCGCACGTGTGGGTCCAGCTGCGAGAGGCCTCACTGCGCGGCTCCTCTTCCTCGTTGGCCGCGCGGGCGTCGCGTCGCCGGAAATGAAGCGGAAGGGCGTCCGGCGACGCAAAAACAAAAGAGGCGTGCTCGCCGCCACGCGCCGCCGCTCGCGCCGCCGTTGTTTCTCTGCGCCCCGCAGCGTCCAACGGGAGGCGTCATTTGTTTCGTTTTGGGATTTGGCGCGCGCCGCTACTACTTAGCCTGTGCGGAAAAGGAGGGGTGGGGCTACTTTCGATATACTGTCTCAACTAATGAGGGAGGGCGGTAGTGCAGTGAACATTGGATATTTCGAGTTTCTGAGCGCATCATCTCCTGTGATTATCAATTCCGTGATATGTATAATTTATCACGGGAGGTGCCCGTGTTCCACCAGACTGGGTTGTGAGCTCCGGCGCCGACCTACACGTCGCGATGCGGGGTTTTCCCTATCAACATATCTCCCCGCTGGCCCCGCGGATCCAGGGAGAAAGATAAAGAGGGTCATACATTTATAGCCCCTTCTTACTCCATTCACAACAATTACTTCATTGACCACGTTATATCCAGAGGAGTATTCACATTACGAAAACACGTTTTTTAATGTTTTCCTTCCTATTTTATTGTACAGGGAGGAAACGTTTAGTACAGGGAGGAATAGCCTCAACAATATAAATTCAAATTTTCGATTGTAAAATATGTGTTTGCGGTTCTTTGAAGTTGTAACGTCTCCCACACGCAAGGTATATGAGTGCTACACAAAAATAATTAAGATTGGTGCAATTAACGATGAAATACACTTAATTTTGCACCCGACAATTGGAATTTCTGCCTGGGTGGATGGTTGTGTCACGCATAACTGTCAGATTAAAATCTTTCGAGCTGAAACTTTGCAAATATACCAAAAGAAGATCTAGTTGTGCCGTTCTGAAAGTTATTAAGGTATTTCGATATTTTTTACATGACGCACCTGTAACATTTTCAAAATTTCCTGGAAAATAACTTTATTTTTTTTGAATAGACAAAAGTGCGTTTACAAAAATTCCGAAACATCAGATTTCCAATAAAATCTATGAAAGAGGAGAGAGATGGTAAAGAGGAAAGAGGCGTAAGATGTGCTTTCCCACTAGTTTAAATTTGAAGCTTAAAAATATTTTTTCAAATATATTTTTATTGGTATAGTGTCCGAATTCAAATCACACCCTTCTTATTTCTATAAATACCCCTATATCTAATACATACATATATATATATATATATATATATATATATATATATATATATATATATATATATATATATATATACTAGTCAACGGCACCGCAGCCGGTAGTACCCTCCGCCCTGTCCATCGCGTTGGCTTGACGAAGTCCTCTCAATGATCGCCACCAGCGACGCCGCGCAAAACTCCATTTCGGCGCTCTCTGTGGGCAAGCGCGCGAACTTGTGCGCCGACAGGTTGAGCCAAAACCCAGAAGCAATGGTTGAGCGAAGCTGAGACAATATTGCTCTCTCGCCGTCGCCGGAGAGTGGTTGTAATTGAGCGGTGCGCTGGGCGTAGAAACCCTGACATACAGAAAGTCCTTGTGATGGCATACGAGCAGTTCTTTGAAGAATAGAATCGACTCTCATGGAGTAAAGAGTAGACTCTGAAGTTATGATAAAATGCTCTCATGTCTTTTCTAGAAATTTTGCAAATATTATAACCTCAGCTCCTATAAATTCACCGTGCACTGCTTCAACATTTCCACGGCCGCCGTTAAACAACGTTGTTGCACACCGTTACCCTCGCCATCCACTGACGCCGCCCTGGGAGGTTGCTGTTGTCGTTGCAGCCGCGTTGCAGGTTCACACCATCAGTGCGGCTCGTTCAGTAATTTTCGCTTCGATTTCAATAATTAATTCGCGCATCTCATACATGCAGCCGGGAATGTTAGTTGGTGGGGGCCAGGCAGGCTCGAGTAGTTCGTGCAGGGAAGGGGCAGGGAATGGCAAGGAGAGAAGAGGGAGCGAGTCAGGAGCAGGAAGGGCGTGTAGAAAAGAAAGAATGACACGGAACAGGGAGGACGAGTGAGCGAGAATTGAATTGAATTGAATTGAATATGCCTTATTTTACGTGGCGAGACTCGGGCCATCAGGCCCGCTCTTCCGTCTGACCACGCAAATTTCGCTACGCTCCTTTCATATAGCAGAGAAAGAAGAATAACGGGGAAGAACGTGGACAATTCGGAGCTGCAAGGACGGGGGGGGGGGTGGCAAGGCTGGAAGGGCGAAACGAGGCTAGAAAAGCAGATGCTAGAAAAGTGTCGGGCTGCTTAGGTGGATGAGAGCAATGTGGAAAAGGTGTAAGGATGTGATGTATGAAGGACGAGTTAGGGCGAAACCCACGAGGCGGGAGGCAAGCGGGCTGCTTGAGAAGAGCACGGCGTTTAGGCGGGAATCAGCGGGAAGGGAGAGTGGGGAGTGCAAAAGGAGTGAGTATGAGCGGGATGGGCCGGAAGGACGGGTCGGTGCGAGAATGCGGCGTAGGCAAGTGGGGAAAATCAAGGAAAGTGGGTTGGGAGGGGCGTGGCCGGGGAGGCGGTAGGGCAGGCCTCAGCTAGGCGAGCGCGGGGGCTGGGAGAGTCGAGTCAGCAGGAGGTGGGCGCTTTAGTGGACCGCGCTATGATTGCGGGGGCGGGTGCGGGGGCGGGGCGGGGCGGCGGGGGCGGGGCGGGGCGGGGGGGGCGGCGGGCGGGCGCGTCGATGTGCAAGTCCAATGAAGTCATATTGCATCGCATGTGGATATGAGCGCGATAAATGGCCGGCGCGAGCATGTAACTGGGCTGCTGCGCATCAAAGCCTCCTGCGTGGTGTGAAGGCCCCGGCAAAAGAACCTCTCTCGCTGCAGCAATAACTGCCGAGTCAAAGACTTAGGAATAGAAATTAACTAGACTCGCCGACAGCCGGGAATAATTTGAAGCCCGAGAGTGCGTTGCAACAATACTGTCAAGCAAAGCTTTGGAATAGATATAAAGTAATTACCGAGCTCGGAATAATTTTGAGTCCTAGAGCGCGTGCAATTCGTTGCAACAATACTGTCGAAGCAAAGGCTTTTGGAATAGAAATAATCCAAAACTCGGCTGAGAGCGCGAAATGACTCAAGAAAACGAATCTGCGTATCTCGCAGACGTCGTCGCGATTGTGACAGGAGCAAGTAAGTTGTTTAGAATAAGAATACGTTCTTTTCGGAGCGTGTTTCATTCGCTGTATGAAATTATACGTGAAATAAAGTGGTTAAATGATGTGCGGTACACATACATTTAAAAAGTCATTGTTCGAAGTTCAAATTCATAGTTTATTCTTAAGAAAAATTATACGAGGGCATTATTTTCCGCAAGATTGTCGTGTTTCTTATTCAGTAATTATTGTAAATGTGGATGACTGAAAGGTCATTTTATTAAACAGATTTAAAACATTAAACCAAGTTCACGGGCTTACATGTGAAAATGTTCTTAACTGTATTCATAACGTTAAGAAAAAAATGACAGCCTACATAAGAAAACGTATCAATATACTTACATAATACAGCATCAGATATTTTGATTTTTTCAATTTATCTCGTTTATTCTGCTACACTTAACCCAAAACAAAGTAAGCTTAGGGATGAAAATGAACGCAAGACAGTTTCATATTTGACACTGTGCATGCAAATAATCCACTACACATGGATCATATCCCTTTCAATGTATCCTGTGAACGCTGTCGGTCCGCGAAACTGTGTGTGTAATATATGTTGTGTGTGGGGGGGGGGCTCGATTGTCGCAACCGGAATTCCAATTTCTTCCATAACAGATAAAGTCTGGTAAGACTGCAAATAAATAATTACTGAGGACACATTTACT